GCCCTCATTTATCACTGTCGGAAGCCCCTTCAAAGAGACCTTCCCAGAGAATCCCTTGTCAGAGATACAATCCTGTGGAGATACAACTCATCATTAATCATGAATGTTAACAAGGTGCTATCTCAAACCATACTGTAAGTTCAAAAGTGAAGTTAAACCTCAGTTTGAAGGAGGGAAAGTGGAGAGCAATCCTTGCTGGGGGGGAGGCAGAGGAGATTGATTAAGATCATGTTACATTTTGCAGTGATTTAGGAAAGCAGCCCTTTTTTGTACTGCGTGACTGTATATGCAGTTGATATGTGAACTGAATCAGTGTATCCAGGCAAAAGATTTTCAAAATTGAAAAAATTATTTGGTTCACAAACGGTGTTTGAGGCTTCAGTCTGCTGTATTCTAATGATATTTACACATGATTGGGAAGTACCTGATGACACTGTTTTATGTCTTTGCAGGAAACTGGTGTGACATAGCTCTTATCAAGGATGCATCCCCTATGGAGATACACCTTTGGCTTTGAAAGTGAACTGTGTTGGGTATGCTGCAATTTGAAGTGTAATAATGAAATGTAAAGTTGTTGCAATAGTCATTTAATGCTACCTTTTCCCCAGCAATAAATGTATTGTATGTTTAAGTCCTCTAATACTCACAGGGGAAAAAAAGGATCTGTAACTTAAGGCCTTTGACACTAGAAAAAAATATCCTACCATAGAACTTCAAATGCCAGCATTGTATTTAGTTGTAGGCATGATTCAGCTATCAGGTCTGTCTCCAAAAGTAGACAGGACTCCTGTAAACTACTGGATTTTGTCGTTGTGCAATTATCAAATTTCCCAGTACTTTTTTGAAGATTGATTTGGATTTTGAAAATATAATGCTTAGCTTGTGCTTCTCCATTTGACACAAATTAATGTGACGAAGAGACAGTTCAACGTCGGGGTCGAGTCCGGAGACCTCCCCGAGCACGGTGCGGCACTACTGAGGTCCTTCTCCTGCACCTGGGCTGTCTATGCCTCTCATTCCAGGCATGCCTCTCCCCGGCACACGGCACGTGGACCTGGGTGATCGGCCCGCCCGGGGCCGCCGCGGCCTGGGAAGACCCTGCTCCTCGAAATGCTCCGCCAGCGCGGATCGCTCCGGGGCTGGCCGCCGCGTCTTGTCTAGGGCCTCGCCGCCCAATGTTCCAGGGACCTGGGGCGGTAGCGGGCGCGGCCAGAGGCGCAGCGGTGAGGCCACCGCCCGCCCCGGGCTTCCCGCCGCCCCCGGCCGACTCCCCGCGCCCCGCCGGATGGGCTTTCTGGGGCCGTGCTCCGCTGGGCCGCTGGCCGGGGCTGCTCGCCCACCGCCGGTGCCGTGCCTAACGATCCGTGCGGAGACTCCAGCCCGGCCTGCTGCCGCGAGCAGCCGCCCTGGGCGCGCCGTGTGGGGGCGGATGCGAACGGCCCCACCCGGACGCGGCGGGCGGGGCCCCGCCTGAGGCACGGCCTGGGCGGGGGCTTGCGGGGTCTCCCTGGCCGCAGCCGGCGCCGCCTCGCCGGGCGGCAGGTGACGGGATCGAGCGCTCGGGTTCTTGTAGCTGGCATCGCTCGCAGGAGAGGCGCGACGGACTCGGGAGTTTATTTCCATTCAAGAAATGTAAAATCAGATGGTCGTCAGCTATAGCACTATTTTACGGTACTGGTGCTAACCACTCAATGGTAAGTTAAAGGTACAGATTAATTGTCCAAACCAGGCTTTTTGAGTCTCCATCTGAACACATGCCAAGCGTGGACTTTAATCTTGGATTTAAAGCATGCATAACTGCTCCAAAGAGTAGTTCCAGTGTGTGGCGTGGGTTAATCCTGGTAGGCAGCTCAGTTGCTCACCCTTCCCCCCTTGCAGTGGAATGGGGAGAGAATCAGAAGGGCCAATGTGGAAAGATTAATGGGTTGAGATAAAGAGTGTAAGAGGTAAAGCACAGCTGTGTGCACAAGCAAAGCAAAATATGGAATCTGTTCATTATGTCCCCTTAGCAGGCATGTTTCTACCCATTTCCGGGAAAGCTGGGTTTCATCAGGTCTGATGGTAACTTAGAAAGCCATATATTGTCACGTCCTATGTCTCCTCCTTCTCTCCCCAGCTTTGATTGCTGAGCATGGCATCATGCTGTGGGAAGGGCCTTGTGTCAGTTTGGTCAGCTGTAACCCCTGCAAACTCCTTGTTCTGCCCTGTTTCTGGGACAGGAGCCACGGAGAAACAGAGATGGCCTTGATGCTGTGTGGGCACTGCTTAGAGATAGTTAAACATCAACGTGTTTGAAACACTCAGTTTGGTCACCAAACACAGCACCCTCCTGGCTACTGTGGAGAAAGTAAACTCTGGTCCAGCAAACAAAAGTACAGTGTGTAAGACAAAAAGTTGACATAACAATCTTTTAAATGTCATGCAATTTTGATTTTGCCTGATCTAGTTTTTTTCCAAAGGACACAAAGTCTAATTGTTTACAATAGGAGGAGTTTGCTTAGGTATGCACAGCAGATTATAATGGAGAAGTTTATGACTGTACAGGGAATTGTGTAGTTTGTTCTAATGTAGTTCTAATGGCACAAAATAAGTATATGGCAACACTGTATATTGGTCTGGCTTACCATCTTTGTATTTAGAATAGAAATGGCCAGTTTAGTTTTTTTTAAACAGTATTTTATGAGGAGTGGAATAATACTGCCTTCAGTTTAATCCTTCAAATAATATGCTTCTGACTTCGGATTATACAAGAGAGGAAGGACACCAGTGTGTCAAAGAGTCTTTCTGAAAAATGTAATCTATCGAGATATTAGCAACAGACAATCTAGATAAAGATGGTAAATGATTGGGAATTTTTATTTAGCAACAGTGGTTTGTGTTGTTACTTTTGACAAAAATCATAAAGTAGAGGATAGAGAATAACTTCTTTCAAAAATAATAAGCTACTAATGCTGTTTGTTAGTTGTGGGTTTTTATTTAGACCCTGCATGAACCAAGGCTTAGGCTGTTTATTATTTCTGTACTACTGAATCTAGTACTTTGTATGAGCAACTGAAACTCTGCAATCACCTCTTATCAGTTGCCCCCTATCCTTACCCTAGATTGGGAGATAAAGTAATAAACTGAGAGTTATCAAAAATTTCACTCAGTGTAAACTTTGTGAAGATACTGAAATGAGCAGCTTAAAAGGTTCTTCAGCTGTTTTGATGCAAAGAAAACAAGTTACAAAGGAAGGCCACAATGCAGAGAGCATGTGAGGAAGACAAAAAATTACCAAGGAATGGCTCTTGAACTAAATTAGCACTTGGTTCCACCTTTTAGTAAGGACAGTGTCAGTTGTGGAGGGTTAAAGACAGATGACAGAAAAAAAAGTTCTGGAAATAGAAGCTGTACAGCAAAGGTAAAAACAAAAGCCAGTTGAAAGGCAATACAGAAAAATTTCTGTTTAAAAATTCTAAGACAGACAAGCTTTTGGTAGAACCTATAATGGGAGTTTAATAAATGTGTTGTGAGCATAGTGGTACAATATGGCTAAAGCAGGAGTGATTCCTTGGTTTAGGAAGGGAAAAAAAGATGATTTAAATATCTGAAAGTCTATAGGTGCATTCTTGGTCCCATACAAGCTTTGAGAGAAAATTTTAGAAGGACTATGACAAAAGAAATAAGGAGAAATGTGATTAATTTGAGCAGCCTGATCTACTGAAATATGCCCCTGCCTGCAGCGGGGGCCTGGAACTAGATGATATTTAGAAGTCCTCTCCAACCCAGGCCATTCTATGATCATAACCGTGACAAGAGCGCTTTATTATGACCTTGCCACAGAAGAAAACACATTGTGTAACTGCACTTGGCTGACAAACTGGGCAGATGTATTAATCATTGGCTGATGACAAGCTCAGATGTGTCTGTGCAATGTGATGCACCTTCAAAAAATGTAATCCTGGCACGTGTTAAGAAAGAAAATTTACAACAGTGATGAGGGCTTGTTACTTGTCATGCACAAATGGACAAGGAACAGAGATTTCTAGTCTCCTGTATTAGAGATTAATTGAACCTGGGCCAAGCACCCAGAAGTGATTTTTAAAGGAAGAGTGTTTCTTCTGAGATGGTTTTAGAACAGCCTGTCTTGTTCAATGAAACAGTAACAAATAGGAAGTCTGGGAGGTGATACGACTGCAATCTATCAGGGCAGTGGGGAGAAACAAAATCTGTTTAGGGGGAATACTGCAAAGTGGCCACTGATACCATTAGCTAAATTTAGCATTAAAACAAATCTATATAATTTGCATCATGTTCTGCTTGCATATTATTTGGAATTAAAAAATACAAAACTGGACTTAATTATTATTGTTTTTATAAAAGAAACCCTTTTAAATATGCTGAAAGCATACTTTTGAAGTTAAAATTTGCCAAGTACTCTCTATAGTAAAGAAATAGAATGCTCCTAATTACACTGACTTAATGTATTTTCTGACTATATATCTGTGCTGTTAATTTCAGGAGGTCAAAAATGAATGAGTAGTGTTGAGGAAAACATGATTTTCACTCCTTAAATAACTGCGTATTTCATTTCATTAAGATTCTGTGTTCTGATATATCTTGAGCTCTAGATTTTGCTCTTTTTCTCTGCTTCTAGAACCTGCTGCTGTTTCAGCACTCTCTCACAGGATCTGTATTCACCTATTTGAACTAGGCCTACAGTGTGTTAGGAAAAAATGACTGCCCAAGAAATACAGATATATGGTATATTTTTCTGGTTCTTTTTAAGTACATGTGTGAACTGAGGATACATCGACACAAAAGGTTAATTTCCAGAAGGAAATTTGAGTAGCCTTAAGAAAATCACCTATGTTTGACTTGCTTCAACAACTCCACGCTTATTTGTACTTTCAATTAAGTTGTTGTGGTGCAACTGTATGCATTGCTCAAGAGAAGGAAAACTTGTTTTTCTAGTAGGTGTGGCTGCTGTTACTGACATTAACAGAGTGCCAGCTATCTGAAATACAATGTGTCCATAACTAACTTAGGTGTTGTACCAGTATTTTTCCCTCAGTATTGTTCTGTATTGAACAATACTTGCAATTTATCTTAAAAATATTTAAGTTTTTATCTGTTTAAAATAAACAATTGGTAGATCATCTCAGCAAAGTACCATAGCAAAAAAATAAATGGAGGACTGAACAGAACTTCACTCAGCTATCTGCTTTAAAAGGTACTTTTTCCTTTCCAGCGTTCACTGTTTAAAACAGTTGAAAAGATGTATATCTTCTTGTTTATTATCTGCTAGCAAAAGCAGAAGAAAAAAGCAGGTAATAAATTTATTCTGTTACTTGATGTTGACATGTTTTGATATTTCTTTACTTAAAAACTGTTTATTCTGTAAGACCGAACAATATTTTTAAGTCATAAATAGATAAAACTAAGGAAAAAATGTTAAATGTGACCTCTATGTTGTAAGAATGCTAATTTATATAACATCCTTAGAATGAGAATGCTCGGGGGAAACTTTTTGTACTTTAGAATGTTTCATAAAAAGACAGAAAATTTGAGTTGTTTTCACTCACAAATCTCCAGCTGAAGTTCATATGACAGTAGCAGACTTTTAGCATGTATTTACAGTTCTGATCCTAATTGTAAGGACTTCTGGGGAAACTCTCCATTTCAGAGATAGAGCAGTCAATGCTTTCTGCTGCTCCTTCTCTACTTTGTGCCTAGTGGGATACATTGAGATTTCTGGTGCCCTGTGACTGTTCCAGTCTGTAAAGCAGTTTCTTGGTAGCTGGCAAAGGGTGATGTAAATCATCACCCTTGGCAAATGAGGCATTTTAAGGAGTGTGTTGTGATTGTAGTTCTCCTTACTTTGCTTTCTCAT